CGGCGCGCTGTGTCTCCCCAGCCTCCCCCGCCCCTGGTGTAGGCTGCCTAAGCCCTGTCTGGTCTGCGGGTTGGCTGGCTGGAAGTCCTTCTTCCCGAGTGGGAATTTGGGTAAATGTCTCTGTCTGAATACGAATGCTCAGCCCCATCTTGGACAAAGACGTGTTTCCCCCTTTCCCTTTGAAACCCGGGGTGGATTTGGATCTGTTTCCATCCCGGAGGAACCGCTTGGCTGACCTGAATAAGCAGCAACAGGAGGGTGAGATTCCGCTCGTGGGTGGGTCCAATCAGCTTTATGACAAAGTTGATAAGTGTCATGTTATTGCACTCGGTGTATTCGCCATCCTCGTCCGTTCCACTCCTCACGTCCACCACGCGCAAGATCTTGACCACCTGGGGAAAAAACCCAGCGCGTGCTGTTTCACCGGGCCCGGGTGGCGCTCACCGGCTGGTTTTGCCCGTGATCCCTTTTGCTGTACCACCCCGGATCTGGCTCTTACTAAGAAGACGGGACAGGCTCCCGGTGGTCCCAGACACTTCTACATGCGACAGATGGATTACTGACAGAGTCGAGGGGTGGTGACAGACTAAGCAGACTGTTTTCCTCTGGATTTGAGCGAGGAAATAAGGAGTGAACCCAGAAGTTCTACATTCCCTCCCAGCCCCTTCCCCGTGCCTTTGATCACCGCCTCCACACGTGCCTGGGTTTGGAAAGCTTTCCGGATATTACCTTCAGGATGCTTGTTCCCAGCGCAGAGAGGCTCTTCGTTTTGAATTTGGAGTAGCTCATCTCCAACTTCCCTGTACTAGGATTGAGCCTAAAAGAAACAGTAACGTTTTAGTCCGGATAGCGCAAGGAGACGCAGAGGTCCCTGGTTAAGCAGACCCAGATCCCTAGCTGAGTAGCTGACAAAGAAGTCCAGTGGTGGAAAAAGCAGGAATAACCCAATACACTTTCACAACAGCTGCCGCCACCTCTTCCCTCTGATCGGGCAGGGAGTCGGGAGGCGATTCCTGCCCAGGGCTGTCTCGGTGTCTGCTGTGCCGACACCTCAGCAGATCCTCCCTCGGCAGCGGGAAAAGCGGCCTGTACCAAGTTCTGTCTCGTAGCTGACAATAACCCTATCGTGACACTGTTAACATCACTCTTCTGTATCGGGGCGGGGGGGCCACAGAATTCAACCTCGTTGAGAAACCTTTACAGCACAAGGTGACCGCAGGGGGAGGCGCAAGGCGGCTTCCTTGTAGCCAGGGAGCTTCCTCCGCTGGCTGTTAAACAGCACCTACCACCACCCTTCCCAGCCGGCGCCGGGCACCCGAGGCACCATCTGCGCTACCGTGCAGGTCGCTCGCGTACCTTACCTCGGCAGTCGGTGACGGGGACAAGGAATGACGTGGAAGAGTTGAGGCAGGGAGTAGAGGAAGTTGAGCACTTGCGGGATGAAAAAGAGCAGCATCGTTTTGCTGAAGTGCCCCAGGATGCCCACCACGGCGAAGGTCATGCCGGCGAAGTAGCAGAAGGTGTCCCCCACGAACACTCGGGACGGGTACCTGCAATGCCCGGGACGGAAAAACAAAGGTCCGGCGCGATCGCTCTGGCGGTGAAAACGACTTTCTACCCGCTGAGTGTATCCCCCCACGTGCAAGTGAGGAGCCGAGGGGGAGAAAAGCCCGAGGACGGCGGGTATTTATGCCAAGAACCGAGGGGCTGGAACCCGCATCCCAACTTACGGAGAGCAGGATATGAAAAAACCCGCCAGTGAGACGTGAGGGAGCGTATTCCGTGCGTTTGGGCGAGGCGGGGCGCCCGGCATCGTTCTGACGTGAAGAAGAGCTAGCAGCCTCGAAGCGTTGCGCTCCTGGCTGGGGCAAGAAGCCCGCCTACGCTCCAGCATCCCAGCTGCGTG